ATATATATATATATATATATATATATGAATATGTATATGAAAAATATATCAAAATGCATGTAGGTACTTAAATGAAAGCTCTTGATGAATGCAACATCCTGATGACCTTATATCTCTAAAAATGTCAATAGTTAAGAAAGTACAGTACAATTTAACAAAATTCATTATTTAATAAAGCAAAATTTAATTTATCCATAGTTCACAAGCCACGGCAGTCACATAGTGACTGCAAGGTTGCTAGTATATATTATATAGTTATAAAATTTTAATAAATATGTACTTACAATTTTAATACTTCGCTGAAGTAATCGACACAAGCACATGTAGAAAAAAATATCATATACTTTCGATTAGTACCCGTTGATTTAATAAAATTCACTAAAGTTGCAAATTTCTGATCTGGCTCAACTATAGCATAATAATTGTTTAATAATGCAGGTGTTGAAACGCTAGATTTTTCAGTAACAGTTATTATTGTTGGGTATCTTAAGCCTGCTCGAATAAATTGTTGCACTTCTTTTGTTTGTGTTGCAGAAAATAACCCAGTTCGCCGTAAACGAGGCAAATGACTTAAGATTGTGTTTATTGTTTTTGAAAATCCAGAATCCAATAGTCTATCAGCTTCATCTAATACCAATAATTCCTAGAGTAACATAAAATATTTAATAGTATCTCTACAGTGTTGAGTTACAAATAATGATATAAAAATTACCAATGATTTGACTGCTTTTCCTAAATCAACATCTTTGCAATTAGAAAAAATATCTTCTAGTCTTCCCGGAGTGGCAATGATAATATTTGCACCTTTTTTCAACTTTATAGCATCTTCTTTTACTGTTGTTCCACCAACTAGCAAGATTTGTTTCAATTTTGGAATATCTATCAGGAACTTATCTAATACTTCACTTATTTGTGTAGCTAATTCTCTTGTAGGTGAAATTATTATACCACCAATTTCTGTAGTTTTCCACTCTTCATTTCTTTTCTAAAAACAATATATTTAATGTGAATAAAATTGTTCATAGTAAAAAGTAACGTACGATAAATTAAATTATCGTGATAAATAAAATAATACCTGTAATATTTCTAGCAATGGGATAAGAAATGCCAAAGTTTTACCACTTCCTGTGACAGCTTCTGCTGCAACATCCTTTCCATTCAATAAAATAGGAATACATGCTGACTAAAAAAAAAAAAAATTATTATGTTATTGTTAAAAGAATTTCATATTTAATGACATTAAAAGTAGCAGTCACTTGATTATTTTTTAGTTTTTTTTTGACAAATAAATTTGTTCCGAAAAATTATTTTAAAAAAATTGCATTTTTAATTTTTTAAAATTTCTACATGTGAATTTTTTAATGACACTGAAATTGACAGACATTAGAATTTTATAGCAATTAAATTATTATAAAAAAAAAAATTTATTAAAAAATTCCACATGTGAAAATTAATAAAAATTATAAGTGAAAATTTTTAGAAGCATTTTTTTATTGTAATTAATTTGTTAAAAAAATTTTAAAAATTGACAGCTGACGGCTAACTTCAGTATTATAATTTTTTGTCAAAAAATTTTTTTAAACTATCAAATATCTTCTAAATTAATTTTCATTTATACTTAATAACACATTTATATTTTACTAAATTTACATATGAAAATTAAGTTAGCTGACATTTAAAAAATTTTTTTTTATTGAAGAAATGATTACAAAAAAATCAAAAAAAAATTCACTTGTAAAAAACTCTAAAAACTGTAAGTGCAATTTTTAATAAATATTTTTTTGTTCTAATTTAATTATTAAAAAAAAATCAAAAAATTAAAGTCGTCAGCAAAAACTTTAGTATTATAATTTACATACTTGTATTGGAGTTGGGTGTTTAAATCCAAGTTGCTTCAATGTTTTTAATATTACACTACTCAAAGTAATGTTTAAATCACTCCATTTTTGTTTATTATCAGCCATATTGTTAATTGGCGTTTAATAAAAAAATAATCAAATATTTTATCAACATTGACCCACGTGCTTTTCTAACCTTACCCCGACTGACTTTAGTGTCTATTTTTAACGTACTGCGCAGAGAGAGAGAGAGGTGGGGGGGGGGGAAAAAAAAGAAAAAGCTCTACATAGGAGTATAGCCGAGAAGGTTAATATGGTTTCTTTTATACCGCGCGAGTACTTCGCTTTTAGCTTTACACACTTATGTAGTTTTCTGCAATTTTACAGATATGTGTTAGTGTGCAACCGAGATATAGTTAAAGTTGGATGTATATATTTTATAATGATGAAAGAGTAGTTTATTGAGTTCACCAAGTCATCGTGCATTCACTTGATCTCCTCTCAGTGCCACGGTAGCACATGGCATACCAGGAACGTTATTTTTTAAATAAAATTTACAATATTTTTTTAGAGTGATAATGTAGTTAGAATAGTAATTGTCAATTCAATTATTTAAATTCACAATCTGCTGCAGTGACAGTGACTGTGAATTATTCGTAGTTGTAATTTAAAAGTTCATAATTAATTCTCTGCTGTATAATTTATTAAGTTTTACTCATAATACGTGAAAGTTATTTAATTTTTATGTTACCGTTATAAAAATACATATGTCTTTTTTTTTTTATAAATATATTTGTATGAAAAATTTGTAAAAAATTTTATTTAAAGTTTGTATTGTAAAAATTATTTATTGCTTGTTATTTTGATAATTATGTCTAAACATAATAATGAGAATTCGATTGTTGACGTAATAAGAGTTGGATCACGTAAAAGTGAGGTGAGTTATCATTTATTCACAAAAAAAAAAAAAAAGTGTAACAATAAATTTAAGTTGTAAAATTATATTTTTATTATTATTAAAAATTATATAATGTTATTTTTAAAAAAAAAATGATAAATTGATTGTCAGTTATTAATAATTATTTAATTGTTTTTAGCTGGCTCTAATCCAAACTAACCATGTAATCGATTGTTTAAAAGATTTGTATCCAAAAAAAAAATTTGAGATAGGTAATCATTAATTTTTTGACTATCTTAATTGGCGACTAATTTAATCACATAAATTATGTTTACGACTGTTGTTTTTTATTACAGTGACAATGAATACAAAAGGTGATAAAATATTAGATATATCACTGCCTAAAATTGGGGAGAAGGCATTATTTACTCAAGAATTAGAGATAGCTTTAGAGCGTGGACATGTTGATTTTGTCGTGCATTCATTAAAAGATTTACCTACCACATTACCTCCAGGCATGGCGTTAGGAGCAATTATGAAGTGAGTGTCTGTTATATTCTTTTGACATTATATTATTGATTCAGCTGTTTATAATGATAAAAATATTTATTTTTAATCTTATCTACCAAAAAAAATAATTAGTTGAAATTTTCTCAAGTAAAGGACAATTTTATAAGTAAAAATTTTTATTCTGTTTTTCAACCGAGGAAAAATTTTTTTTCACTTGAAAAATGATTCGTCATTTTCATGAATCGCTTAATAATGAAGATTAAAGATAAAGACAATTATTTTTAATAGTAATACACTTAAAAAAATTTAATTGTTAAAAAAAATTAAAATTATCAATATCCGGTCAATAAAATAAAAATAAATTTTTTATCATTAAAAATAAAAAAATTTAATGTTTTTGTTTTTCGTATAAGTAATTTATAAAATTTTTAAATGTATCAGACGAGAATGACACTAAAGTTAGCGGTCACTTGACAATTTTTTAATTTTTTTTTAACAAACAAATTTGTTCCAAAAAATTATTTTAAAAAAATTGCATTTTTAATTTTTTTTAATTTCTACATGTCTAATTTTTTTTCTAATTTTTTTTGCCATAATTTATTTGTATGAAAATTAATTTAGCATATATTTAAAAATTTTTTTAATTTTATAACAAATAAATTATGGCAAAAAAAATTAGAAAAAAAATTAGACATGTAGAAATTAAAAAAAATTAAAAATGCAATTTTTTTAAAATTTTTTTTTTTTTAAATTTCTACATGTCAATTTTTTTTGCCATAATTTATTTGTTATAAAATTAAAAAAATTTTTAAATATATGCTAAATTAATTTTCATACAAATAAATTATGGCAAAAAAAATTGACATGTAGAAATTTAAAAAAAAAAAAAATGCAATTTTTTTAAAATTATTTTTTGGAAAAAATTTTGTTGATAAATAAAATTTAAAAATTCTTAAATGACTGCTAACTTGAATGTCATTTTATTTGTTAGCAAAATTAAAAAAATTATTAAATATCTGAATTAATTTTCATTAGACGAGAAGATCCAAGAGATGCAGTCGTAATGTCAAAGCGAATGTCTGACAAAACACTACACACTCTACCATCAGGTAGTGTAATTGGTACGAGTTCACTGCGAAGATCAGCACAACTAACCAGAAGCTTACCACACTTAGAAGTACGTAGCATCAGAGGAAACTTAAACACGCGTTTAAAAAAATTAGATGACAAAGACGGGCCATTTGCAGCAATAATATTAGCAATTGCTGGATTGAAAAGAATGGGCTGGGAAAACCGGATAAGTGAACTAATGGAGTTACCTAACGAGGAGATATTGTATGCAGTCGGTCAAGGAGCACTAGGAATCGAGTGTCGTGAGTCTGATTGGAAGATTCTTTCAATTTTAGAACCACTCGCGGATGTCAATACTACTTTGCAGTGTGTCTGCGAAAGGTCTTTTTTAAAAACCCTGGGTGGTGGTTGTTCGGCACCTGTTGCAGTCGCTTCATCTTTAATTGACGACGATTTGTCAATGATCGGTGCTGTATGGTCTCTCGACGGTGAAACTCTGATAAAAGATACACTTTCGACGAAACTTTACCACCAAGATGATGATGACAATGACGACGAGCCGCCGAAAAAATGCTCTTTTTTAGAACCCCGACTCTATTGCAGTGTTTCTCCAGGTAAAATGAATGAAACGAGTCTTCTTGGCGCTGAGAAACTCGGCAAAGAGGTGGCTAATAAGTTAATTGATAAAAACGCATTAGATGTTATGTCAAGGGCTAGGGATGAAATATTACGGTCTTAATAAAATGGGTGTTTATTTAGAGAAATATTTATATAAATAATATATATTAAGTGTTCAATTAATTTTAAAAGCACAACCGACGGTATAGTTTTTTACCATGTTGTTATATATCATTGATCATGTGATGCGGCTATTTTATTAATTGAATTTACGTACGTAACTTATCTTCCAAACTTAGACGAACAAATAAATTTTATTGTAAATATCATTGACTAAATGTCTGAGATGATTGCAATGTAATATAATAATCAGGATATTAAAAAATGCTGTAAATATGTAGCAGGAAGAATTTATAGTATATTGATCGTTATTGATCAATTTGTTAATAAACAAAAATGAATTTACAAATTAAAGACCAATAGTTTTTTTTTAATATTACTGTTTTTTAATTATCATTTTTATCGTTGTTTAAAATAAGACAAATAGTATGTAAAATAATTTATTCAACATCTTCATCAGCCATCGTAGTTTGTGATACGAGCCTCTGGAAGAATAAAAAGTAATTTATTAGTTAATGTCTAAGATAAATTATTGGAAAATTTATAATACTAAAATTAGCCGACGTTTTTATTTTTTTTTGCATTAATTAAATTGGAACAAATATTTTTTTTAAAATTACATTACATTTTTGATTTTATTTATTTTGCTTAAATTATTAAAATTACAACTAAAAAATATTTTTAAAAAATTGCACTTATAGTTTTTCAAGTTTTTTACAAATGATATTTTTTTTTTATTTTTTTGAAATAATTTTTTTCAATAAAAAAAAAAAATAATCCTAAAAATTTTTAAATGTCGGCTAACTTAATTTTATAATAATAAAGTTAGCCGACATTTTTGATTTTATTTATTTTGCTTAAATTATTAAAATTACAACTAAAAAATATTTTTAAAAAATTGCACTTATAGTTTTTCAAGTTTTTTACAAATGATATTTTTTTTTTATTTTTTTGAAATAATTTTTTTCAAGAAAAAAAAAAAATAATCCTAAAAATTTTTAAATGTCGGCTAACTTAATTTTATAATAATAAAGTTAGCCGACATTTTTGATTTTATTTATTTTGCTTAAATTATTAAAATTACAACTAAAAAATATTTTTAAAAAATTGCACTTATAGTTTTTGAAGTTTTTAACAAATGAAAAAAATTTTTTTTTCTTTTTTTTGTAATAATTCTTTAATATAAAAAATGATGAAATTTTTTAGAGGTCGGCTAACTTTATTTTCATCTTAATTTTAATTGAAAATTTTTAGTTACCTGTCCAACCAATGGTAATCTTTGTAATAGTAAATGAAAGACTTCTGGAGGAAGTGTCTTCTGTAAAACTCTCAAGAGTTCTTGTGGTTGTCCGCAGACAGCAACAGCGTTTGCCAAATGCTCAATTCCACCCTCCAAGTCACCGTTAGCAAGCAACTCTTCGCCCAACTGAACTTGTTGAAGGAAGAACTTTTGTACGACTTCGGGATCTTTTAAATCAGGAATGACCGTGCCAGATCTCTGTGCTTGTTTTTTAGCTTTTCTCCCTTAAAAAATAAAGTCGCGTTAAAAATAACTCGTGCGTGAGTATATAACCTAAAAATTTAATGAAAAAAAAAAAAATTCTCTGACTCATTGATAGTAAAAAAAAAAAAAAAAAAAAAAAGTCATTGGCAATGAATATTTTTTTAAGACTATAAAATTAGATATTATTAATTTTGCTAGTAAAAAAATTGTCTAACTTACGTTCGCGTAATTTATTTTTGAATTCTGGATCACTTCGTCGTTTTTTATCAAAGTAGAAGCAGTAACCAACGAATAATCCAGCAATACCAACGGCTATGCCCACCGCAGCTTTAGACATTGTCATTTTTTACAAAAAAATTGTTAATTTTTTTTAAAATAATATGAATAATGATTTAATTTATCAAGCTATAACTATTAAGTTTATTTCAGTAAACTGGCATTGCAGAGACTTGAGTAAAACGTGCAACTGATGAATAATAATTAACACGCGAAACAAAATAAAGTTTATGTGATAATTAAACGCTGAATGATAAAACCTCTTAAGAATTGTACGTTTCAGTAAAAAAAAAAAGAGATAAGCTCCTCTTTACTAGCAATCAGCACGACGAAATGGAATCATGGAATGAAAATCGAGCGGAGAGAGCTAGTATCAAACTATAGAAAAGAGGTTATACATATACTTGTATATATCTAAATATATATCTATGATATATATTTGCGCATGCGAACTATTCAAAAGTGTCTTTTCTCTTTATGAAAATAAAGTTAGCCGACATTTAAAAATTTATTAAAAAAAATTTTTTTCATTTGTTAAAATCTTCAAAAACTATAAGTGCAATTTTTTAAAAATATTTCTTAAATATAAATTAATAAATTAAGAAAAATAAAAAAATTAAAAATGTCGGCTAACTTTATTATTATTTTCTCTTTTCCCTCCATTTTGGTCCTTTTTTATTTCATACTCTATAAAAATTTTTATTTACCATAGTATAGTTAGTGCCTAAATCTAATGTGATGATCAATTCACTTGTTGATAGTGGTTATAGCTTAAAAATTTTATTAAAGTTACAAAAAAATATTTTTAAATAAAATAACAAGTGTTTATTGAAAAAAAAAAAAAAAAAAATAATTCCAATATTATTTGTTAATAAAAAATAATGATTTGTACATACTCATTTTTTAACTAAACTTTAAGTACATAATTAATTATTAAAATTGTTGATTAAATTTTATTATTTCAATACCTGACAATGGAGGAAGAAAGTAAGTTAATATTTAATTTAATTATTGTTTTTTTTAATTGCTCTGCTAATTAATTTAATTAACTAGTATTAAGATAAATACTTAACTGAAATTACAGTAATTAACTATTTTTAATTTACAGAGCTAAGAAAAAGAAAACAACGTGCAAAAAAAGATGGAAATATAAAACAACTAGCAGAGATAGTTAAAGAGCTTGGAGATTTATACTTTGAATCAAAAAAAATGGATGAGGCTCTTGAAGAGTACGAGGAGCAATTAAAATTATGTGAAATATTGAACGACCCACTGAACACAGCAGTCGCTCACAGAATGATCGGTGAAATCCATACTGATTGCGGTAACTATGAAGAGGCTTTATCACATTTGAGTAAGTACTTACAAGGTGTAAAAGAAACTAAAAATTTAATTGAACAGCAACGAGCTTACGCCACATTGGGAAGGATGTATTTTTGTATGAGCGAAGCTTGTGAAAAAACGGGAAGCGAACAGGAGCCTTTGGCAGCTGCTAAGAGAGCTTACAGCAAGAGTTTAAAACTGTGCGATAAATTGGAAGAAAATAAGGACATCAAGGAGGTGGAGGTGATGATGATGCGCGCCAGGTTACTGTTAAATTTAGGGTTGGTTTTAGAAGTCCAGAAGAAGCTTGATGAAGCTATCGAGTTAATTGAAAAGGCAGCTCAGCTTTGTAACAAGCATAAGTTGAATGAAGATCTTTATAGAATTCATATAGCCCTAGCTGCTGTTCATGAGCGCCAAGAAAATTATGATGATGCCTTTAATCTGTATGACTTGGCAATTAAATTAGCTCATGAGCCTGAAAAAAAAGCTTCTGCACGTATCAGCCGCGCTGAGCTGCTGATAAAAATGGGTGAATGGTCCGAAGCACGGCAAATTCTTGTTTCACTTTATGTTAATAGAAAAAAAGTACCTTCATTAAGTCCAACTATAGAAAAGTTATTAAGAATAGTTGTAGTAATTGACAAGTATGAGCTTGATCTCCGTGCAGAAGAAGACAACGAAAAACGGATGACTTTATATGAAAATTTGGGAGACGCAGCGTCTGCTGGAGGTTCTTATGAAAAAGCTGTTGAATTTTATAAAGGCATGCTGTTGTGTGCTGAAAAAAAACCTGGTGATAATCGAAGTAACGTAAGCGCTGCTTTGGTAAGTCTGGGACGAACGCTCAAAGATGCTAAGCAGTTTGAAGAGGCGTGTATTTATGCTAGATCAGAACTCAAACTTTGCGATGAAAATTATAGAGAAGCCTGTCGATCAGCCTTGTTCCTCGCAGAGCTGCTTAGTAGCATCAAACACACGCCAATCATTGAGTCAGAGACACGGGAGGCTTATCAATTAGCGCTGACTAATGCATCTAAGTCATCAGATCAACGGCTGAAGCTCGCTGTTCTGGAAGAAACGCAAGCGTATTATAATGAAATTGGCTCTACTGAGGAAGCTTCAGAGATGAATGATGAAATAGAGACATTAAGGGCATCGATAATTGATTATGAGTCTCCAATTATTAGCGAGGGGGAAGAAAATAATGATGTAGGGAAGGATATTGATTTAGATGAGTTGTCAGATGTTGAAGCTGAGCTGCACAAGGATGATAAATCAAAAGGGTCTCGTCGTTCTTCCAGACGTGGATTTGTTATCAAAAGAAATGAAAAAGGAGAAACTAAACTTCATGTTGCTTGTATTAATAATAATATACAAGAAGTTGTTAATCTTTTGGCAGCTGGACATCCTGTTGATGTCAGGGATCATATGGGGTGGACTCCGCTTCACGAGGCTGCTAATTATGGTCACATTGAAATTGTTCAGCTATTGATAGATCACGGTGCTAATGTAAATGACCCTGGTGGTCCAAAGTGTGGCAATATTACGCCACTTCACGATGCTGCTTCTTGTGGGCATTTTTCTGTGATGAATTTATTGATCAAACATGGCGCGGATATTACTCTAAAGAGTAAAGAAGGTGAATCGATACTAGATATCTTTGAAACTTGGCGTAGCCGTTTGGAGGGTGAACGTAAAAAAGGTAAAGTTGACTGGACGGATGCTGATGAACAGGAGTATCAATTCATTCGTGATCGATTGCGTCGTGTTTTACCAACAAAACCTACCAAGGCTATTAACGAGCCCTTAATTGACGAAGATATTTGTTCCCAAGCTACTGTAGACTTTAAAGAAGATGAATTTTGTAAAAAATCTCCAAAAAAAATTTCTGCTGGTGAGGATTACCGGAGGACGATTGAAAGCTTGAAGAATCGGAATTATTTAAATCAATCGTATGAGTCGGCTAGCTCTAAAACAGTTAACAGCAAAGTTACACCATTGATTGATAGTGAGCAACAGCTGGTTGACGATTGGCTTGAAGATGATTTATCTGCACCTGCGACTTCCAGTAGTTTGAAACGAGCTAGCAGTGATGAGGTTGTCAATCCAATTTCCAAGAGAATGTCCTTTAATTCTAGTTCTATTACTGTATCTGATGATGAAGGAGATGGAGATATTAATTATCATAATGATAATTCTAATAGTAATTATATTGATGATGAAGAAGATGATGATGAAAATATTTTTGAAAAAAAGAGTCCGACTAAAGGTGTGAAAAGATACAAAAGTGCTTCAGATACTATTAGTAATAAAAATAATAAAGTAAATAAAAATATTTCACGAAGTCAGCCGAAAAAAGTAACTCAAAGTAAAAATAATCAAAAGACATTATTTGTAACAGGCTTTACCAAAAATACTTCCCAAATAAATCAGTTGTCAATACAGAAGTTCACAAACGATGTAGATATTATAAAAAAATCTAACTTAAATATTGAATCGATAAATTTCAAAATAATTATCGAAAATATGACGATTAATTTAAAATTGAAACGTCCAGATGAAAGTAATTATTTGTACAATAATTTAATAAACGATATTACGAAACATATTAATCAAAATACTGGTTGCATTGCTAAATTAATTCTTACTACTGTTAATGATGAAGAATTACAGCCTGAAAATTTATTGAATTTAGTTTATACTAATCAAAATGATTTTATTAGTCTTTATGGACAAATCATTGATCTCGTTGTGCCAAAAATAAGTGAGAGATACAAAACAATTTGCTCAGCAATGGATATACGTAAGTTTTTTTTTTATTATTATCTATATTATTAAGAGAATAAGCAAAATTTTGCGACAAAGATAGTCATATGATAAAATCGGTTTTTTTTTTTAGTGAAATTTAGTGTTAATGCAAAGATCTTGACTTAAATTTGTGCCTTTTCAAGGTTTCATGTCATTCTCACCGAAAGTCAATTTATAATGATAAATATTTAGGCTGAGAACTATTATCTTGAGAACTATTAGCATTTTTAAAAATATAAGCTCACCCCGACATTACACTCACCGAGACCTTTCATTAGAGTACCCACATCAATTTCTCATATATTTTATATATTTATATATATTATATATATGTATAAATGAAAAATATATCAAAAATGCATATGGGTACTCAAATGATAGCTCTTGATGAGTGTAACATCAGGATGAGTTTATATCTTTAAAAATGTCAATAGTTAAGAAAGTACCGTGCAATTTAACAGATATCTTGTGAATTATTGACATTTTTAAAGATATAAGCTCACCCCGATATTACACTCATCGAGACCTTTCATTTAAGTACCCACATCAATTTTTCATATATATTATATATCATATAGTTTATATATATTATATATATGAAAAATATATCAAAAATGCATATGGGTACTCAAATGAAAGCTCTTGATGAGTGTAACATCAGGATGAGTTTATATCTTTAAAAACGTCAATAGTTAAGGAAGTACAGTGGAATTTAACAAAAATTATATAATAAAGCAAAATTTTATTTATTCATATTTTACATGTCACGGCAGTCACATAGTGACTACAATGTTGCTAGTTTATATTAATCTTTAATTTATATAATTACTAATTGGTTTATTTTTTTCTCATTTTTTAGGTGTAAATAGTGATTCAAAGCAATTAAAGTCATTACGATCTTGTGAAGATTCAGAAATATTGCGTTTGAAAGGTGAAGATGAAGATATTGAAATGATAGCATTACTCAAGAGTCTTGAGTATGAAAAAAATCTTAAGGTACTAGAACTATCATCATGCAGCTTGTTTGGTCACGGTGAATTACTTAATTATACATTGAATCAATTGAAACAACTACAAGAGTTACATTTATCTGGTTGTGATATTGACTCTGAATGTATTAAAAAATTAGATAGTCTTCCGTCACAATTACGAATTTTAAATTTAAGTTGTAATCCACTAAATACTGAATCACAAACTAAGCTGCGCGATTTGATTACATCGCTATACTGCTTGCAGGACTTGAATTTACATAATTGTAAATTGAAGGAGCTTGAATTTAATTCCACAAACACTATTAGCGCGAACTTAGTTAGCTTAGATTTATCGTGGAATAAAATGTATGATAATGAAGTTGATTATTTACTGCAAAGACAATTAGTTAATTTAAATTTATCTCAAACTACAAGATTTCCTATCGTAAATAATGAAATAAATTTAATGGCTTACGCAACCTTAGAAAATTTAGAGCTTGCTGGTTGTAATTTAACAGACTCGGATGTTATTCAATTACTGACCAATTGTAGAAATTTATCTAAAATCATTTTAAATAATAATTCTCAAGTAACGTCAATTGCTTTAGAATCTTTGCTGGCTTATAAACCGACGCTCAGTTTAATTGATACAACCGGATGTCAAAAAATAGATAATTTTCCAAATTATAATCTAGTAATCGGTGATCCATCAGTTTGTACTCTAAAAACTAGTATGACATCGGATGTTTGTGATTCTTGGGAAAAATTGTGGTACGGGCGTGCTAAACAATTTAAAATGCCTCATGACATAGTTATTTTCAAACCATTTTACTGATTATAAAAATATTTATTAATTTATTTATTTACAGTTAATTTTTAAAATAAATTTCTAAATAAATTAATTTTCAACGTGATTATGACTTTAATGTAAATATGTATATTTTATTACCAATTTTGCAGTGTAATTTTGATATTTTAATATAGTTTTTATCTAAATCTTTAATAAGGACTTGATTTAAACTATTATTTAATTCCTCAACATAAGATTTTAATTCCTTTTCCCGATCACCAAGCATCCAAAAAAAGCTTATGTGATATGAGGCTTCCTAAAATTAAAATTAAAAAAAAATTATTTTCACAAGAATTACATTAAGCTTCTATAAAATTGTTATAAGTGTAAAATTACCTCGTAAAAGGATTCCAGTTGATACTCTGCTAGTAATTTATTCAATGATTCCATCAAGTAGGTGAAGCTTGGCTCCAAACAGTGACACTCGATCCCCAGGAACGTTCGTGTTCGCTGCTCATTGCAGTAAACTCTAACGTTATTTAACTCAAGTATAAATGGGTCGACTGATGAGCATATTTTCTTCATACTAGCCACAAAAGAGTCAATCCAGTGAAATTTGAATATTAAAGTACGTGTCAAACTAATATGACTATTTTCAATTATCAAATTACCATCAGTAAAGGCTTCAGTTGATGACTGCATCCATGTTTGCAACAAGTCCCATAATTCGTCTAAAAAAATGCATTTTTTATTTGAGTAATAAATATTTTAAATAATTAATTATACTGAAATTAGTTGACATCTGATAAATATTGAAATTTTTATAACTAATCAATTTTTGAAATTCGCATTTTTAATTTTTTTTAATTTCTACAAGAAATTTTTTCTTTATAATTAAATTGTTGTAAAAATCTAAAAAATTTTTAGACATCTGTTAAATTCAGTATTATAATAATTAATGATACTGAAATTAAGACATCGGTTAATTTTTAAAATATTTTTATCTAATAAATTATAGCAAGAAAAATTTATTTTCAAAAATTCCATCTTTGAAGACTACAAAAATGGGTAATCGGAAAAAATTTAAAAGTTATGAAAAATTCATATTATTTCATTGAAATTATTATAAAATAAAAATTATAATAATAACAATAATTGCATCACACCCACAATTTTTCTGAAAAACAAACACCTCCAAAATGATCGTTTCATTTTTTTGTTACAGAAAAAAAAATTTTTTTAATATTAATATTATTCGAAGGGAAGAGCAGTTGGCGCGATACCAAAAGATCCAGGTTCGAGTCCTGGTCTGGGCCGTCCGAATTATTTTTTCAGTTGAAATTATCTCTAATGACAAATTCTACGAATAAAAAAATAATTGTTTATGCGCGGAAGGTTCCGGCAAAAAAATTATTATAAATATTAGTGCAATTTGCAAGTGTTCTAGGCCAGACAGTCAATATAGCTTTGTAGCTTCATAATTATAAATATAGTAAATTTACAATTAAAATAAATATATTAATATTATTATTATTTATTATAATTTTTATTTTATAATTATTTTAACGAAATAATATGAATTTTTCATAACTTTAAAATTATTTCAGGCCTATTTTTTCCAGAATTAAAAAAAATGAAAATTAAGTTAGCCATCATCTAAAAATTTTTATAATGTTTTTTTCATTGAAAAAATTATTACAAATCAATGAAAATAAAGTTAGCCGACTTCTAAAAAATTATATGATTTTTTTTTTATTAAAGAATTATTACAAAAAAATAAAAACTTTTTTCATTTGTTAAAAACTTGAAAAACTACAAGTGCAATTTTTTAAAAATATTTTTTAGTTCCAATTTAATAAATAAAAAAAATCAAAAACATCGGCTAACTTAAGTATCATTCTAAAAAATGACAAATCCAATTTTTTAATAATAACTTTTCAGACTTAAAGAAATTTATTAAAGAAAAATAAAAAAATTGTGAATTAATTCCTTACATTCAATGTAAACAAGTGTTGCCCAATTACCACGTTCGTGTTTAAAATTTCTGACACGACCATCATGCTTCTCAGGATTATCTTCAATAATTGACTGTTCAATTTTATTATCCGTCCAAGATAATAAATTATTTGGCAAAGGTAAATTTTTGCTGAAAAAAAAAAAAAATTATTTATATCCATTATAAATTATGTCAGTACATAACCTACATACTAACAATAATAAAAAAAATTATTTATGAGTTTAATAACTTACTTATTATTTGATTGATTATCTGCTACAGGTTTACTATCAAATACTTCATTATCACAGTCTTCATCAGAATCCGAAGATAAATAATTTTGTATCAACCTAAATCCTGCCATTTTTTTATGGTTAGGATTAAACGTTTGACGGTTTACGGATTCCGGTTGTTAAAGCGATGGTGAATAAAGAATCAGCTGTTTTTATAACACGCACACAGTTTTGTTGAATAATAAATAATGGAACAGTAGTAAATGTTGACAATATCTATTTATTGTAAATAAAATGATGAGGAATGGTGGTATTTATGAGTTCGGTAAACGTTTACGTAGTAATTCAATAAATCGTAGAATATTTATATTTCTTATATTATTTTGTTTATTTTTACTCTACTTTGGATCGTCATTAGCTCAGTGGTTTTTTAATGATAAAACACCAATAAAAGGTATTTATTTATAACAAATCATAAATTTAAATTAATTGATTAATTAATAAATAATTTGTTTTAGCATTTGAAGATATTTGCCTTGAAGAAAAATTATCAAGTGCTTATGCAGAAGCTCGGGTTTACGATGCAGCAATAACTGAACACACTAGCGATGACGAGACGTCTTCCTCATCATCACTGTCAGCCCCATTATTGTCATTTGATGACAAATATTTACCTTACATAGGCAATGGATTGTTTGGAGTGGAAATTAATCCAAATAATGCGCGTGTTTTTATAAAACACGGCAGAACACTTTCGCTGAACATTCAATGGGACCCATTGGTCACAATAACGACTGATAATAATAACCAGCGGGTCGCTGATGTCATACACTTCACTCAAGGTATTGTGTCCAGGTATCAGTGCATCAGAGAAGGCTATTCAATTAGCCACAAGTATTATGTTCATCAAGTATTAGATAAAATCCTGGTTCAGGATGTCACTATCACCAATCCTTCTTCGTTGGCCCAAAGCGTTACACTGAAATTGAATGGTAATCAACATTGGACTGACAGCAAATCAACAAAGTACGTAAATTTAAATAATTATTTTATTTAATACTAGCAACTTAGCAGTCACTATGTGACTGCCGTGACTTGTCAAATATAAATAAAGAAAATTTTGCTTTATTAAATAATGAATTTTGTTAAATTGCACTGTACTTTTTTAACTATTGATATTTTTAAAGGTATAAGCTCACCCCGATGTTACACTCATCAAGAGCTTTCATTTGAGTACCCACATCATTTTTTCATATATTTTTCATATATACATATATATAATATATAAAATATATGAAAAATTGATGTGAGTACTCAAATGAAAGGTCTCAATAAGTGTAATGTCGGGATGAGCTTATATCTTTAAAAATGTCAATAATTCACAAGATATCTGTCAAATTGCACTGTACTTTCTTAACTACTGATGTTTTTAAAGATATAAGCTCATCCTGATGTTACACTCACCAAGAGCTTTCATTTGATTACCCACATCATTTTTTCATATATACATATATATATATATAATATATATAAATATATAAAATATATGAAAAATTGATGTGAGTACTCAAATGAAAGGTCTTGATGAGTGTAACATCGGAATGAGCTTATATCTGTAAAAATGTCTATATATCACAAGATACAAGGTAATTTCTTCATTACGTATCTAAAAATAGAGCATTTTCGAATACTTATCATCATAAATTGACTGTTGGTGAGAATGATATGAAACTATGAAAAGGTACATCTCCAAGTCAAGACCTTTCTAATGATGCCAAATTTAACTATAAAAACCCATTCTATCGTATAAATACACTGGCCAAAAAATTTTGCTTATTTTCTTAATAATATAGATTTTTTTTTCATTCTTAGATAAAGTATATTAATTAAATATGTTTCAGTATTCAAGTAGAGGGATCTAATTATAAATACATGGTTACGTCAGGCTTTGTACCATCATCAAATTCTGAAAAAATAATTGTCGTGACAATTGTTTATGTAGTACCGTCAAAATACTTGTCTATTAAACCAAAAAGTACTACGAAATTAGAATTTTTGACGAGTATTTGTTACAGTGAACCTGTTGCTCTAGGACAGTATGAAAATGAACGTAAAAATACTGAACGAAAAGCCCTTAAAGTATGTACTTATATTTATTAATAAAATGAAACAATTATTGTTATTAAAATTTTTTATTTATTATTTAGGCATTGAAAGATGCTGTGAGTATCCAACTGCAAGAAGGATTATTAAATCAGCATGTAAATACTTGGCAAAGTTATTGGAATACTGGGTTCAGTATCAGCGATTCGAAAGCAAAAGGCGCTATTAATGGACACAAAATAAATTCAACTATTTACTATGTGCTATCACAAATACCACGCGGTACTCCTAATATTGAAAAATCTATGCCAAATAATGAAGGCTGTTACCGCGGGCATCATACGCTGTTAGTATAATTTTTATCATATCATACTTATTATTAGCATACATTTTTTCTTTTATTGTTTACATTTATTAACAATTAAAAGTGTAAAATTAATATAATTAATAACTATAACTATTATTATTATTAATTATTTATTTATTATTAATTATTACAGCGACGCAATAAATTTGTGGAAAGATACGTCCACAATTGACGGAATAAATTCCGTAGTTAAAGCTTGGATAATAACTCTAGAAAAACAAGGTTGTCATCATTTACTAGCTGGGCCATCATCTGTACAACAAGCAATTGTATTGAGTCTTGGTGGCTTAAGATTTAGTAATCAGCATTTAGATTTTAATATTGATCCGCAATATCTACATCGTAATTATTTGTTTAGGTAAAAGCTTTTTCTTAATTAGTATCTAATATTTATATTTATATATATTATTTTTTCCGATATTATTATAAATATTATTATTATATTACTTAATTACTATTCAACAGTTTAAGTGTAATTAATAATTATTCAATTTTTTATTTGTAGACGAATTAGTTATGGAAATATTACACACGTAAATATATCAGTGACGGTTGGTAACGACAATCGTGCAATATTAAGTGTTGCATTGGATCGCAGTGATAGCGATTACTACGCTTGTGATGCTGGTTGTTTAGATTCACCAGTACTTCTTAGTCAGTCTTATACAAATTTTCCGGTTAAATTAACAAAACCACTAACATCTATATTATATATTACTTCCGATTATCAGCATATGCAGGATCTTCGCAATGCGCTGCATGTACATGAAGTCGAAGAGGGTACATTACAATTTTTTTTTATAATTATTACAATACTATTATTACAATTATTAGTAGTACAGATTATTAAGGGGGAACACCACTGGGACGATCGAAAAAAAAAAAGGTGATTTTCGGGAATTTTTTTGACAGGAAAAATAAAGGAATTTGGGAATTGGATTTTTTTTATTTTATTAAGGGCACATTAAAGATTATTACCCTGAATTTTTATTAAAAAATATTTAACTCAAAGCTAGATCATCTGAAAATAAAAACCCAAATTGCTTTTTTGTCAGTAGGGATGTAATTATCGTCACATGTACGGAATTTTGAAAATTTTTATTTAAAAAAAAATGGCGACTGATTGAAAATTTTCTCACTATTTTTTACTGTTTTTTTTTTTTTTTTTTTTTTTTTTTAACCCGGCTAAAAAAATCTTTAAAATAAAAATTTTTCAAATTCCCTACTTGCAACAATAACTACATCCTTACTGATTAAAAAGCAATTTGGGTTTTTATTTTCAAATGATCTAGTTTTGAGTTAAATATTTTTTAATAAAAATTCAGGGTAATAATCTTTAATGTACCCTTAATAAAATAAAAAAAATCCGATTCCCAAATTCCTTTATTTTCCCTGTTAAAAAAATTCCCGAAAATCGCCTCTTTTTTTCGATCATCACAGTGGTGTTCCCCCTTAATATAATAGAATATTGATTGTTATATTACTAATTAATAATTAAAATTAATATTTTAGCACCAGCTCATGATCATCATGTTATGGCTCTTCATAAACACGGCCATCAACTTGGTGGGTTGCCCACATTCTTTTGGGTCAGCATATGTTTTCTAATAATAGTATTCCACATGTTTTTATGTAAACTCATTTTTACTGAGTACTATGGCCGTCAGGATCGCCAGCGAGGACGATACAATAAACCGTGACTTATTTATGGTATTAATTAATTTAATTAATTAATTACAATAATATATAATTAAAAGTAAAACACGTGTAAGTGTGTATATATTTTTCTTATTAAAAAAAACAATTAAAGAAAAATTTTTTTTTAATAATATTAATTGTATTTTCTCTGACTATATAATAAGTAAAAAGAGATAATTTTGATATCGGGTAAGGCCTTGGCAACGTGGTTTTTGATATCGACTTTAACTATTTTTATAAATTTATATAAAAAATTTTCAGTTACGCGGATTATTTGTACCAGCATTGTCGGAGGATATTAGTAATTTAATAAATGAGTATGTATTTTTATATATACATATATATTCATTGATAATTATTTTTTATAGAAATATAATTAATAATAAATAAAATCATCAATAGAATATATAGAAGTAATTGCTATAACAATGATATTCATGTTGTTAATTCAAATATACATATTTAATTAAATATAATATAATAATATAAATAGTCATAAATGCTGTTTCTATTTCAATTGAAATGTCACGCATCATGTCACGTATGGAAGACAATATAATACAGTTGGAATTAAGCAACTGAAGATTATTACAATAATTTGATTATGATTAGTTGCTATTTTGATTATCTAATTTTGCATACGATATAATTTATCCTCGATATTTAAAAAAGAAAAAAGCAATAAATAATAAACAATAATAATAATAGCATTTCGAAGAAATAACGAGTGGACGGACGGATCCCTTGAAACATTTTAAAAGTTACATTCAAATTAATACATAAACAGCATTAACATTCATACAAATAATAATAATAAAAAAAATAATAATAGTAATAATCGTTTTTACTACTGTTACGTATATCTTATATATTAATCAATTATTTTTAATATTGAGACTTTTTTCGTCCATCGTTTTTCTTATTGATAAAATTAATAATAATAATAATTCGCATTACTAATGCCAAAAGGGCGCATTTTAACATCTACGCCCTTTTGGCTCTGCAGAACCAAAAGGGCGTATAAAAAAAATTTTTTTCACTCCAACTAATCTAAAAATGTTTATAACATTTAGATCTATAAGAAAAGTGAATAAAAAATTTTTTTTTATACGCCCTTTTGGCTCCAAGATAAAAAAATTCTATCATTTTTTTTTAATCATAATTATGATTAATTAAGGTAAAAGACCCAGTTATTAACACTGGACTAGTTATTGACACTTGCAATTTTATTTTAATTAAAAAAAACAAATCAACTGTAATAAATTAATAAATATAATTTTTTAATCATAAATTTTAAGAAAATTGATTTTTTGAAAACATTTAATTTTTTTAATTATAATAAAATTGCAAGTGTCAAATAACTAGGCCAGTGTCAATAACTGGGTCTTTTACCTTATTAGACTTGAAAAAAAAAGTTATAACACTGGTAAAAATAATGACTCTACTCATTTTCTTTGAAGAGAATATGTATTTGATTAAAGAAGAAACTAAAATATCAATTTAGCTAGGCACTACTTTACATTACATTATTTTTTGCTTCTGAAAGTAAAAAATAATAAATATATATTGCTTGTAAATTTAAACTTTGAAAAAATACTTTAATCTTAAAACAAATTCATCAGTTATTACCATCATCAAAGCACAGATTTTTGTAATATCGATGGTATTTTTTTGGAATTGTGTCTGACGTACAAAAATTAATTAAATTGTATTTTGAACAGGGTATTGGAAGTTTAGACTTATAAAGATTATGAAGATCGACGTCTTTTTTAAATGATTTATTCAAAATTACTATTTTGAATGTTTCCCAAAAATCTTTTTAAATAAAATTAGTTGAAAAGTCATTATTTTTATTGGTGTTATAACTTTTTTTAAGGCTAATAATTAATTACGATTAAAAAAAAAAATGATACGCTCTTTTGGCTTTAAAATTTTTTTGTCTTACAGCCAAAAGGACGTATACAAAAAAAAATTTTTCACTCACTTTTCTTGCAGATCTGAATGCTATAAACATTTTTAGATTGGTTGGAGGAAAAAAATTTTTTCCATACGCCCTTTTGGTATTAATAATGTGAATTGCTAATCTACCTAATAAAAATAAAAAAGTAATTCAGTTAAAAAAAGTTAGTCACTTAGAGGACTAATTTGAGCGTCACCACCATTGACTGCTATTACTGCTTCAGTAGATGCTGATACTGTGGTAATAGGTTTGTTGATACTGCTAGTATCATCATTGTCACCAGTAACGGGACTACTGCGTGAACATGAAGTAACACTTTGCATCGTCTGGCTTCTAGATGGTACAAATCTCATACTGTATGTCGAGCGTAATCCAGAGTGTGTTGACGAACTGTTTTGAGCATTACCACCTGAAGGAGCTCCGGCGCTGCCAGGACCACCAGCACTCACAGTATTCGTGTGACCTGACCGTACATTTTTATTTGGTTGAAATAGCACCAAGTAAACTTTTGGTATAAAAAGACAACCAAGCACGACAGTCGCCGATATATTGATGCACATACACATGCTGGCAATTTGGATCTGTAATTTAAAATTAATACTTTTAGATAGCTGGATAGAATAAATTTTAAAGATAAAAAAATGAATATTAATCAATGTCTCTATTAATGTAAATAAATATAACAGATACATGCAGTTGATATTAAACGTGCAAAATTATAAGGACACTTACAAAAAAAAATAATGTTTAACAATAATAACTATAACATCTAAGATGTGGATTAACGACACACGTGCGACAACTTGGCATTTAAGTAATAATACCGTGTAATCGTTATAAGTGCTAAAGTATATGGGAACAAAGGCCAGCCAAACGATGCACGTGGAATACATCGTAAATCCAATATATTTAGCTTCATTAAAGTTCGCTGGTATTTTACGTGTCTTGAAGGCGTAAAGTGTGCACATTAAGATTAGAACCATGTTGTAAACTAAAGACATCATGAGTGAGAATGTTGATACACGACAAGTGAGTACTGCTGTTAATGGACTTGGATGAATTTCTTTTATGTCGGGTGGTTCGATTATCAACCAGACAATTGTACCAATTAATTGGATTGATGTGATACCTACGTATGGACAATGATGGGTTAATATTTACATTTTTTTTAACTATTTGTAAGATTATTAGGTAATTATTTACAAGTTGGGTCAAACTTATTTTTGGCCATATCTAGGTGAAAAATTAACATTTAAAAATTTTTTTTATTCAGCTTGTTTATACGACGGATTGATGGTGGAGTTTTGGTTCTCATGTTTTTGGATAAACTTTCTGTTTTATCTTTTTTGATATATTTTTTTTTTGAAAAGTACATAAAAAACGAACAATTTAAAAAAAAAGTTAAATATCACAATTTTCTAAAAAATTTATAAATTTTCTTGAAATTTTGGTAATCAACTTTTTAATGTAAATATTTGACGGATTTATGCCAATATTTTGATAGTTTTTTTTGCCTTTAAAAGTTGGAAAAAATTTTGACTCTAATGTTTTTGGATAAAATTTCTATTTTATCTTTTTTTTAATGTTTTTGATATATATATTTTTTTTTTTAAAGTACGTAAAAAAAACGAACAATTAAAAAAAAAAAAAAAGTTTAATATCACAATTTTTTTTTAAATTTGTTAAAATTGTGATAATCAAGTTTTTTTTTTAATTGTTCATTTTTTTATTTATTTAAAAAAAAATATATCAAAATTTTCAAAAAAAAAATGAAATGGTAGACCCCTATTTGTAAATAATTACCGATTATTATTAGCATTATTATTTTTCATTGTAATAGTTACCCAATGAAATAGCTATTTGACTCTTAGGTGAAGTATAAGAAGGCCGTTTTAGACATTTTTTTCCTTGAGTAAAAATTCTTGATATCCGATTTGTTTTTGTTAAAATAGCGCTGTAGCAGATACTTAAACAGAGACCTAAACCGATACGTAGATATGTACAATTCCAGCGTGTTGGTTCGCCTAAAATAACGAAACTCATTCCATAACACAAGAGGATTCCAACTAGAAGAACGTAGCACAGCTCACGTCCCGAGGCCATAATTACTGGGGTATGATTGAATCTATTCAATAAAAATATTCATTAAAAAATGAATAGTCGCATCAAAATTATTTGCATTTTTATTGAAAAAAAAAATAAATAAAGTGGAAATTTTCTTTTAGCTGGAGGTAGAAAAAAAGTCAGAATATCGAATGTCAAAATAAATTCATCCAGGTAAACAGAATTTTCAAGCGCTACTAAAAGCCTTCAACCATGTCGATATCTCTTTATTCCTGTGACCCAATTAATTCTTATTGAAACTCAAGATGACAAGTATATTAATCTATATTTCTATTTAAAATTTATTGCTTCTGAAAATTTCAGTGTCCAGTTTCTAATTCTAAGAGTTTTTTTTTTAAGTTTAAAGTTTTTAAAATGAAAGTTGTGCAACACTAGCTTTTAAATGAGGTAAACTTTATAAAATAATGTTAATTAACAGAGTTTAGTAAAATATATAATTAAATTTTCTGTAAAGTAGTAATTTAAAATTTACTCAAAAAATTATTTCTTTTGGTTTGTAGTTTCAGTAGTGCATGAGCCAATAGAAAGTGAATTTAAACATAATTTTCACTTTAAATACTCTAACTTTTCATAGTCGGATTTAGAAACTTTGCTCTACGGACAATTATGCAAAGCATCCAACTCTCTATAAAAATATGCATTGATGAATTTTTTATCACAACTTCCATATATAGATAGACTTACTAGAAACTATAATTTTTTGCATAATTTAAATAAAATTCAAATCCAGCCGTCACACGTTTTTTTCATCTAAAAAAAAAGTTCAGCTTCCATCAGAATTTTTTTACCGATAAATTGACTTTTTTTTTCACTCCATTAAAAAAAATTTACTCTTTTCCAAGCACTTAAATAATAGTATTAAATTTTCTAGGTAATACTTACCGTACAAATATAATTATCGTAAAGAGTGTAATTAATATGCCGATACTTGCAAAACTCAAAGGTACTATAGCCCATGGACTTGCCCATGTTATTATCTCGGCAGGTATTTTGATACATCGTGACTTTGAGATATTGTCAGGTGCCCATCCGGGCCCACAGTTTCGACACGAGTCATTAAAGACATAGGCATTGTCTGGACACCGCATACAACTCCAGCAACACATATCCTATAAATTAATTATTATTAACTTTTTTTTTTTTTTTTAATAATACAATACAATAAATTTTTCACTACCTTGCCAAATATTTAAGTCAATTATAATTAATAATTAATTTTTAATATTTTGTTTTTTTTTTTTTTTTCAGATACTTATTTTTAAAGGATTCTGTAAGCTTCAATTCTTTAAAAAAATTTTGTAAATTATTCTTATTATTAAAATAGGAACCTTGCAGTCACTATGTGACTGCCGTGACATGCAAGCTATAAATAAATCAAATTTTGCTTTAATAAATCATGACTTTTGTTAAATTACACTGCACTTTCTTGACTATTGATGTTTTTAAAGATATAAGCTCATCCCGATGTTACATTCATCAAGAGTTTTCATTTGAGTACCCACATGCATTTTGATATATTTTTCATATATACAATATATATAATATATACAAATATATAAAATATATGAAAAATTGATGTGGGTACTCAAATGAAAGTTCTCGATGAATGTAATGTCGGAATGAGCTTACATCTTTAAAAATGTCAGTAGTTCACAAGATATTCGTTAAATTGCACTGGAATTTCTTAACTATTGACCTTTTTAAAGATTTAAGCTCATTCCGATGTTACACTCATCAAGAGCTTTCATTTGAGTACCCACATGCATATTTCATATATATATATATATATAATATACAAATATATGAAAAATTGATGTGGGTACTTAACTGAAAGGTCTCGATGAGTGTAACATCAGGATGAGTTTATACGTTTAAAAATGTCGATAGTTCTCAAGATACACGGTCATTTCTTAATTATTGACGTTTTTGAAGATATAAGCTCATCCCGACATTACATTCATCGAGACCTTTCATTTGAGTACCCACAT